GGGGGGGGGGGTTTGGTTTGTTGCGCTGCGACGCTCTCTCTCTTCGGTGTGTGTCTCTCTCTCAGCATCTCTGTAGGGTGTATAGCACATCGTTGTTACTACTGCTATTTAGAGTGGGCCGCAGCCATTGTTGTCGTCGTCGTCGTCGTCGTTTGGTCGCTGCACGTGGGGATTGTGATTCGATAATTACAGGGCCGCACACGTGACCACAGCGCACACGGTAGCAGGGCGCGCGCAATCACACAAGAGAGAAGGACGAGGGGATTGAGTAGAAGGAGGGAGAAGACGGACTCTGTAGAATAGGACATCGTGCACTAATCCAGAGTGAGAGGCCGGACAAGAGTACGCTGCGCGCAGTGAACAGCAACGGGCACACGGAAGCAGAAAAGAGGGGCAGGCTGGTCGATAACGCAAGCGCGATACAAAGCACGGGAGCATTACTGGCTTTAGGAGAACAGTAACAAGAAAACAAAAAGGGAGAACAAACAAAAGAGGTAAGAAGCTACGAGTATGAGGACATCAATGCCTCTGCGGTGCCGCACCACGACGGCACCAGCAACAGCCGCAGCGTCGTTGCTGCTGTTGTGTGCGGTGCTCATGCACCTCGTTCCCGCGGCCGCCCAGCAGCCACTGGACGGCATGGTGTTGTACAAGATATTCAGCAGCTACTCCTGCGCCGCCTGCACGCAGGCGCAGCAGGACGGCCCTAGCGGTGTGGCGACACTCGCAAGGGCATCCGGCGGCACGGTGGGCGCCGGCAGCGAGTCACTGATTGTGTGCGACAGCGGCGCTGCCGGGGCGACGGTGCGCATCGTGAACCGCAGTGGCCTCTTCACTGTCGCCGGCAACCGTGCAGAGCGCGGCTGGCGGGACGGCGCGGCGAACACGGCGCTGTTCAACAACCCGTCGAGCGTCGTGCTGATTGACGGCACAATGTACGTCGCGGACACCGACAACAATCGCATCCGCAACATCAGCGCGAGCGGAATGGTGGGCACATTTCTCGGCGAAACGCAGCTGTCGAAGCCGACGTACATCATGCCGTACCGTCGCCCGAGCGGCACATACGACCTTTTCGTGTCCGACACCAACAACTCGCGCATCGTCTTCACCCCGCTGACGGACGTGCCTCCCGTGACGGTGTTCATGACTAATTTGCAGCCTGGCGAGATGCAGATCAGCGAGTCGCGGCAAATCATGTACGTCATTCGTGAAGAGTCGCAAATTGTGGCCATCGACGTGAGTAGCGCCGGCACCGCGTCGCCACGCTCCTGGAACGTGGGCAATATCGGCTGCACCGGCTACAAAAGCGGCCTCATGCTCACCGCCAACGAGGAAGAGCTGTACTACTACGGCAACAAGGCTGGGCAGTACGTCATCATGTCATTGTCTGCGGTGGCGGATGCGGTCGACGCGCCGCAATTGTGCCCGAACGTCGTGATGAATTGGTCCGACAGCCGCAGTGTGTCCCTCGTGAGCGCGGGCATGCGTGGCTTCTACGTGGTAAACGCCTCCGATGTGTTCCTTGTGCGGGACAGCACCTTCACGCAGACGCTGACGATAGACGAGTACCGCACGCCGACCCCAACGGCTTCGGTGACGCCGACGGGGCAGATGCTGGAGACGCCGACCCCGACGGCGACGCCGTCCGCCAGCAAGACACTCACGGAGGGGCGCCCGCACGCGGTTGCCGCGTTCCCCACAGCGAGCCTCCCCGTCTCGTTCGTGCGGTTCATTCACGAGATGTACGCCTGGATGATGAGGGACGTCAGGATCGCCTTCGGCACAGATGACTTCTTCGCCGCGTTCGAGCCGCTTGGGTACAACGACGTGCCCGGCAGCGCCAATGTTTCCACCTGGAACAACTTGACAGCGCAGCTCAGCTACGATGGCAGCATCCTTATCACCCATTACTATGGCCCCTTTGGCATGATGGAGGACGAGGCGCAGGCAAGTCTCTTTGATTCGTTGTGGAAATGGGCACGTGAATTCCATGAATCGCTGCGGAAGCGTGACCCGCCCATCGCGCTGGACGACTTCTGTATCATTAACTGCACCAGCGAGTGTAGGGAGTTGTCCTATGAGGAGAGTATGTGCATCGGTTACAAGAAGCCACCGCTGTGCAACGATGTTTGCATAGGGGCCATTGTGTCATCGGTGGTGCTGGGCGCAACAGGAATTGCGTTGATTGCCTTGATGATCGGCAGCCCTGCGAATGTGAAGACGGCTTTCCTGCGTGTGCCGGCCTTTTAGTAGAACCCCTGTGGGGGCCTTCATCTGTATTTATATTTCTACACATCCACATAGAGTGGAGGGAGAAGAGAGACGAGGAGTGGGAGGGCTCCGCGAATGGTATGTCATTGTTCACAATCTACGTGGACAACAAAAAAAAAAAGAGAGAGAGAGAAGAAAAGAGGTTTCTGTGCTTGTTCACCCACGTGACACGAGAGGGAAGAAAAACAGGGGGGTTTGAATTCCCCCTCTCAGTCTCCGTTTTCCTCCACTGTACACTGGATGGGCGCCAGGAAGGAAGCAGGGAATGAGCAAAAAAAAAACGAGGAGGACACGAGCAGCAACAGCGATAAGCAACGCAACGGGGGGGAAACATCTCATTTCGGCAGTAGCAATAATAGCCGCCGCCGCCGCCGCCGCCGCCGCCGCAGGAAGAGGTACATTCAAGTCTAGATGATCGTTGTTCAAGAGTCTTTCTTCTTTGGCTTCATATCAGTTTGTTTCCACCTCCGCTTCCATGTCTGTTCTTTTATCAAGTTTTTTGTTTCGCTATTCGGTGTCTGTATGTGTGCGCGCGTGTGTTTGTCTGTCTCACTCCCTCTCTTCCCCTCTCTCTCTCTCTGTGTGTGTGTGTGTGTGTCTGTGTGTGATTGTTTCCATCATTACCTTCCCTGCTGGTAGACGGCGGTGATTACTGTGTCGCGGGACGGGAATCACTGCGTGTGTGTGTGAGGTATGGAGGGAGGGGGAGAACACCAAGAATAAGGGGGGAAAGAGGGAAGAAAGAGAGGCAGGGCGTGAAGGGGGAGGGAGGGACACATTTGCAGCAGCAATAGTACCAGGAGCGGCGTCTGTCGATGATTTTTTTTTCCTTTTTTGTTTTGCTGTGGCCTGTGGGTGTGTGTTTTTGTTTTTCCTTTTTGTGTGGTTGTTGTTTTGGCTGCGGTCATCGTTGGTTCACGCCTCCTCCTCCTCCTCCTCCTCCTCCTCCCCCCCACCACCACCACCACCCCGCTGTGTGTGTGCGTGTGCTTTGTCTTTCTTTTCCGGGTATATTTGCGCTCCCGCCTGCCCCTCCCGCACAGGGCACCACACACACACACACACACTGTGCGTCTGTTGGTGGGTGATGTATGTTTGTCCCACGCCTGCCGGTGTGCGGGGTG